GAAGAGGCTACATGGTAACGGGAAGAAGATACAGGGGAAGAGGCTACATGGTAACGGGAAGAAGATACAGGGGAAGAGGCTACATGGTAACGGGAAGAAGATACAGGGGGAGAGGCTACATGGTAACGGGAAGAAGATACAGGAGAAGAGGCTACATGGTAACGGGAAGAAGATACAGGGGAAGAGGCTACATGGTAACGGGAAGAAGATACAGGAGAAGAGGCTACATGGTAACGGGAAGAAGATACAGGGGAAGAGGCTACATAGTAACGGGAAGAAGATACAGGGAAGAGGCTACATGGTTACGGGAAGAAGATACAGGGGAAGAGGCTACATGGTAACGGGAAGAAGATACAGGGGAAGAGGCTACATGGTAACGGGAAGAAGATACAGGAGAAGAGGCTACATGGTAACGGGAAGAAGATACAGGAGGAGGGGCTACATGGTAACGGGAAGAAGATACAGGGGGAGAGGCTACATGGTAACGGGAAGAAGATACAGGGGAAGAGGCTACATGGTAACGGGAAGAAGATACAGGGGAAGAGGCTACATGGTAACGGGAAGAAGATACAGGGGAAGAGGCTACATGGTAACGGGAAGAAGATACAGGGGAAGAGGCTACATGGTAACGGGAAGAAGATACAGGGGAAGAGGCTACATGGTAACGGGAAGAAGATACAGGGGAAGAGGCTACATGGTAACTACACAGGGGAAGAGGCTACATGGTAACGGGAAGAAGATACAGGGGAAGAGGCTACATGGTAACGGGAAGAAGATACAGGGGAAGAGGCTACATGGTAACGGGAAGAAGATACAGGGGAAGAGGCTACATGGTAACGGGAAGAAGATACAGGGGAAGAGGCTACATGGTAACGGGAAGAAGATACAGGGGAAGAGGCTACATGGTAACGGGAAGAAGATACAGGGGAAGAGGCTACATGGTAACGGGAAGAAGATACAGGGGAAGAGGCTACATGGTAACGGGAAGAAGATACAGGGGAAGAGGCTACATGGTAACGGGAAGAAGATACAGGGGAAGAGGCTACATGGTAACGGGAAGAAGATACAGGGGAAGAGGCTACATGGTAACGGGAAGAAGATACAGGGGAAGAGGCTACATGGTAACGGGAAGAAGATACAGGGGAAGAGGCTACATGGTAACGGGAAGAAGATACAGGGGAAGAGGCTACATGGTAACGGGAAGAAGATACAGGGGAAGAGGCTACATGGTAACGGGAAGAAGATACAGGGGAAGAGGCTACATGGTAACGGGAAGAAGATACAGGGGAAGAGGCTACATGGTAACAGGAGGAAGATACAGGGGAAGAGGCTACATGGTAACGGGAAGAAGATACAGGGGAAGAGGCTACATGGTAACGGGAAGAAGATACAGGGGAAGAGGCTACATGGTAACAGGAAGGCTACAGATACGGGGGAAGATAAGGGGAGGCTACATGGTAACGGGAAGAAGATACAGGGGAAGAGGCTACATGGTAACGGGAAGAAGATACAGGGGAAGAGGCTACATGGTAACGGGAAGAAGATACAGGGGAAGAGGCTACATGGTAACGGGAAGAAGATACAGGGGAAGAGGCTACATGGTAACGGGAAGAAGATACAGGGGAAGAGGCTACATGGTAACGGGAAGAAGATACAGGGGAAGAGGCTACATGGTAACGGGAAGAAGATACAGGGGAAGAGGCTACATGGTAACGGGAAGAAGATACAGGGGAAGAGGCTACATGGTAACGGGAAGAAGATACAGGGGAAGAGGCTACATGGTAACGGGAAGAAGATACAGGGGAAGAGGCTACATGGTAACGGGAAGAAGATACAGGGGAAGAGGCTACCTGGTACACGGGAAGGTACAGGGGAAGAGGCTACATGGTAACGGGAAGAAGATACAGGGGAAGAGGCTACATGGTAACGGGAAGAAGATACAGGGGAAGAGGCTACATGGTAACGGGAAGAAGATACAGGGGAAGAGGCTACATCGTGACAGGAAGTAGATACAGGGGAAGAGGCTACATGGTAACGGGAAGAAGATACAGGGGAAAAGGCTACATGGTAACGGGAAGAAGATACAGGGGAAGAGGCTACATGGTAACGGGAAGAAGATACAGGGGAAGAGGCTACATGGTAACGGGAAGAAGATACAGGGGAAGAGGCTACATGGTAACGGGAAGAAGATACAGGGGAAGAGGCTACATGGTAACGGGAAGAAGATACAGGGGAAGAGGCTACATCGTGACAGGAAGAAGATACAGGGGAGGAGGCTACATGGTAACGGGAAGAAGATACAGGGGAAGAGGCTACATCGTGACAGGAAGAAGATACAGGGGAAGAGGCTACATGGTAACGGGAAGAAGATACAGGGGAAGAGGCTACATGGTAACGGGAAGAAGATACAGGGGAAGAGGCTACATCGTGACAGGAAGAAGATACAGGGGAAGAGGCTACATGGTAACGGGAAGAAGATACAGGGGAAGAGGCTACATGGTAACGGGAAGAATATACAGGGGAAGAGGCTACATCGTGACAGGAAGAAGATACAGGGGAAGAGGCTACATGGTAACGGGAAGAAGATACAGGGGAAGAGGCTACATGGTAACGGGAAGAAGATACAGGGGAAGAGGCTACATGGTAACGGGAAGAAGATACAGGGGAAGAGGCTACATCGTGTCAGGAAGAAGATACAGGGGAAGAGGCTACATGGTAACGGGAAGGAGATACAGGGGAAGAGGCTACATGGTAACGGGAGAAAGATACAGGGGAAGAGGCTACATAGGAAGGGGCGCGGAAACATGGTAAAGGGAAAAGTGCAAAGAGAAAGGGAATGCGTAACAATGTGTAGAGTACACTAGATTAAGAGGGCAGAGTAAACGGGAGGAGTTTGGGTTAAGGTAAAGAGAAAATGATACAAGGAAACGGAAACAGGATACAAAGTACAGGGAAGTAGGCTCATGCTAAGGCTTGCGAGGTAGAAAAAGAGTGTTCAGAGTAAGGATTTGACACAAGGTAAGAGGAAGAGGGCACAGTTTAACGGGAACAGGGCGTAAAAAGGGGAAGAGGGCACAGTTTAACGGGAACAGGGCGTAAAAAGAGAAAGAGGAAGTTGTTAAGGATAGAGGGCACGGGATACAGGCCAGAGGATGTTGAGTGGAGTGTTGAGGGTACAGGGAAAGGGGAATATGATACAGGATCAAGGGTAGAGGACAGAGAGCAAAGGTTAAAGGCTACAAAATGTTAGGCAGAGTGTTGAGGGTACAGGGAACGGGGAAAGTAATACAGGGTAAGGGGTCACGGAGTGTAACTAGTGCCTTTCACTTAAATCAGGTACAGTACATGATTTCTTAGCCACGATTTGTAATGTATGTTACTGTCCCTCTCTCTCGGCCAACAGCTTTTTTTTCTTTACAACTTCCATGAGTTGTCGTTCGTTATTTATAGACGTTGAAAGGCACTCTCAGAATATGTCTTGCTGTGATTTGTTAGCGAGACAGTTTTTTCAATCAATCAATTTCGCTTTTTAGATACTGAAATTATTATTATCATTCGTTTACATATATATTGATGCTGTAGTTGAACTGAAATAGACTACGTGTCCTTTTTTATATAAGCACTTTTATCCATGTATTCCGCTCACAGCATTTCTTACAGGATTGCTTAAAGGGCCACAACTCTATGAAATTAAAAAATAAATAAAATACGCACACATGTCTTATGTTTATCCCAATTGTAACTTCTGGAAAACTTTAATAGTGTTTGTCAAATGTCGCTCGCCTTAACAAACATATCGTCTCAGAATGACCGATTGTAATGTACACGAGTTAAACAAATTTCAGTGCAGAAACTTCAAATATCAAAAGTGATTTAACCAAACAATCAATCGCTTTTCCTCAAAAAACAAAAGACAAAATGTTTTGCTAATTTTTTTTATTATCTCACTGTAGACATGTCATAAGTTTAAGAATCAATTAAAGACATATTGTATATGATGAACATATGATATGAAAATAGTATTGCACTATTCCTTTTCTGAACAATAAATAAATAAACAAAAATAGATATCTAACTACACTACCCGATCTTTCTAATGACACCACTTGAATTAACTGCAAGTATATTAGCGTTCAAAACTAAATCCAAAACGGCGATTTTCCTTATACATTTAAACCTTTAAACTAGTTAAAATTACATATCTTAATTTAAAATCTTTGTAATATAGGAAAAACCAGACAATCATCTGTACTAAGTTGTAAACATATTGTTTCCTGTCTAGATTTCTATATATGGGTTATCCACTATCAGCGATGGATACGTATTATAAAGAGCTTGAAAACCTACTGCACATACTTATAGTGTGATTGTTTATCTACATCTTACAAATAGCTTAAAAGTTCACCAACAACACATAATCCCACAAAAAAAAAAAAAATAAAAAAAAAAAATAAATTGCTGGGATTAAAATCTGATATATAACATTGATATCTTTTTAAAAGCAATACCAACTAACCAAGACTTCGTTACGAAAATAACGATACGTATACAATTAAGTTAAAATGTACAATGAAAATATAAGTAATATGATATATATCATATAGACAAATTAAGAGAAATCGTGCTACATATATGCATGAACCCGGAGAATTTCGCGCTATGCTATGTATGTAGCAAGCTAAACATTCGAAATTTCAAAATCCTAATTAAAACGGAACGTTAAAACTTCAACAAATAAAATTGTACATCATTTTTAATCAAGGTGAGATCAGAGTTTGTTTTTTAAGTTTATTTTAACGCAGTGCATCATCTATACAAAATAACTTATCTACTTATATATAATTCTCAAAGTTTGAGATAACAAATGACAAGAAATGATACCTTAGAATTAAATATCATACATAATTTACAAGGATATGTACATACGCAAGCAAATTACAGCACATGCATGATTCTTCAAAGATAGTTAGATTAGGCACCAAAATACTGTAATTGTTCTGTTACCATGAAGTCAAATTCTGTAACAATGACGGATGGGGAATGTGGCGGTGCATCTCCGGGGATGTTGATTGATAAAACGACGACGGAGCTGACGTCAGTGGCGGAGCGCCAGTACCACAGCCGTCAGCGAGTTCATGCCGAGTGAAGGAATACGGCGGTTCATTGTGATAGCCAACTGGTGATGCTGTCATGGGGACATATATCATACGTTTCATCCGCCCTTTTATATTGGTCATGACGACGTCCACTTCTTTCATACTTTTCTTTGCTCGCCTCCTGGCTTGTCGACGTCGGAAGTCGCCATGAGAGAAGTCTTCGATGCATGCCGGATGGATGGACCAGTAATTTCCTTTGCCGTTTTCCGAGCGACCGTTCTTTACAAAACATTCATTCAATGAAAGATTATGTCGGATGCTGTTCCTCCATGCCTTGTTTGCGTTGTTGTAAAATCTAAAGTTATCCATGATATACTGGTAGATATCACAAAGCAACATTCTTTTTGATGGGCTGCTCAGTATCGCCATGGAGATCAGAGCGATGTAGGATTGTGGCGGTTTTTCGTAGGTGGCGGTATCTTCCATGTTCGCCTTCATAGATTTGTCCAAAGTTAGAAGCACATTCACAATAGATTCAGGATTATCCGACTCTGATCCGCTTGGACTACTTCTTGAAGTCAGGACTGGGGAACGGCGTAGACTGTCCTCACTTTCGCTACGTTGATGTCTGACAGATCCGCAGCTTTTATCTTTGCCGGCTATATAATCAATGGAGAACGTTGATGAAATCATGTCAAGATTTAGCGCAGCAATCGAAAACACAAAACGTTTTTCAAAACCTTCAAATCCTCAGTCGCCCGAGAGTATGTTAACGTCGAGTGCCGGTTAGGCAATGCCACCTTTTAGTAAGCTCCGTTATCAAATAAATTGTGACCAGTTGGATATTCAATTTTATAATGTATAAGTTGATAGAATCTCTCTGTGATTGGCTAAGTAAGATCTCGACCCCTGTCTTTCAGAACGATCAATTTAGTTTCACTGTAAACACTTTTCATGTGAGTACGACATCTCGGCAGGGTTAACCGTGGCAGGTGCTAATTAACTGCTAACCTATACCTGTCAGAAAACACTCAGGTGGGCCAGGTTCTGCCGTTAAGTAACGAATTCATTCGGCGTTGTGGTTTGTACCGGTATTCCAAATTAACAGTTAGATTTGTGCTATTCTCTGTATTACCTTCAAAAGAAAGAGTACAATAAAATTGAAATACAAAAAAGATGCTTCAGAACAGATATCCACGAGTGCCATAATGGACAATACATTTATACCGTACGTACGCGTACGTACAAAGTCTCAGATTATAGAGATAGTCTCATTTGATTATAATGAAACTTTTAATCAAGAGTTCATTTGATTATAATGAAACTTTTAATCAACTTTACAGTTAAATATAACTAGAGTACACGCAAAATACGCAATGTAGAAACATTTCATTATACATATGTCATGAGAGTATAAAATCTATGTTGTACTTATCTCTTTCTACAGTACATGTATATGCGTAGTATAGATACTTTATAATGGTACTAGGAAATCAACTTTGTAATTAAATCTATAGAGAGAGTATACATATCATACGCAGTATAGTTATATTGTAGTTTCACTTTTGAACTTTGGAGAAGATGATATGGCTGAGTTATAGTTACGACAATACTACTGATAATACCACTTCGACATTTTGTCTGTAGCTACTTCTGATATTAAACTGAATTTTATTCACATCGTTTAGTTCGTAACTGAATGTTCCTTCAAGTAAAACGTGTGCTAGTTCAGTATCTGGCAGTGAATATATCGACTTTTTTAATACTTTATGTAGCTCTAGCCTTTTTATGTGCAAGTTTAAATCGGTTAAATTAATTTTCGCCCTCCATTCTCGTTCTTCTTTTAACAGCACATACGTCATAAACAGGTTTTTTTTATTGCAGTTTAGAAGGAAAAGTACTGTCTTAATTCTTAAAATATCGTATAAAATTCCAATTTTGTTTTCGTATCCATTCAGCATTGATGAATACGGTCTCCTTAGAAATAGACTACATTGTAGATGTTAAGGTGTTTTTGTTAAAGTAATATTGCCTTTAAAAATAACAGTTTCTTTGTGTCTATAAAACCCTCTATGGATGTCCATCAAATTAGTTTATAGCACACGTCAGTACGAGTCCTGTTTCTCAATCCCTGAATTGTTTTTATGATAAATCTGGAAGACCTGGAAGCGAATGTTGTTATCTGTTGTATTTGGCTTCTCCCACCAAGCCTCAATCGGCAAGGGAGCGGAGTCGACGGGCATGAACAGTAAGACATTTCCGAACACACTGAAGTACAGACTGTTGATATCTGGGCCCATATTGTTGTTGTAGTGTATTACATTAATAATGCATTGAGCGAGAACAATTAATAACATCATACTTCATGTTAGGCAGAGTTTCTTAGTGAAGCTATTCGTATACAAGGGCATGTTTCATACACTCGTATCTTGTAAACTTCCTTTATTTATACAAGGGTATATAAAGAGGTAGCGAGTCTTTTTCGTGCTGTTTTTTTTAACGTTCCAATTTATGTCATGGATTTTCAAATTTTTTAAAAATAACGTAGATTTATCAAAACAAACGATAGAAAAATAACTTTCATTAACCAGATTTTTAAGTATCTAACGAAAATTTTTGCAGAAAATCAAATTATTTAAAAAGTCTTAAAATTATTTCAAACTTATTCTGGAGAGACTACTTGCATAGAAGCTACCGCCACGTTTTGAAAATTATCATTAATAATATCCCTGTGAAAAGCAAACAATACGGTGCGAGACTACAGTTCTGACAAACAATTTATATTTGTGACTATATAAGCAATCTCTGCATTCCATGAAACTACCCAATTTGAAAAGACCGAAACATAGGAATCGGACTGAAACAATGACACAATACATTATACAATGTACCTTGGCTATAACGTGTTCATTATAACACAAATGGATGATCTCATACCGTGTTCAGTTCACTAACGGTCCATCTGTCAGCAAAATGAAGAAATCATTCTACAGCATGGCGTATACAAAACATAAAGAGAATGAGATGAACATTATATCATGCAAGTTTTTTTATTAATATAAAAGTATTTCTTAATTGATTAGCTTCGTGTATACCATGATGGCGGCGTTGAGCAAAGACACGTATGAAGGAGCTGCGGTGAATTTTCCTGAGATTGACAGCTGAACAACAGGGAAAAGTCTATAATTTTGGATTGTGTGACTAAGTGAGCTATTGGTAACATCATTTTGACAAAACCTTTTTGATTGATTAACTTTTCGGATCATTCGCTCCCTGTGCAACATGCGTGTACCTAAATAATACTGTGTTGCACGTGCTGTCTATGATACTCACCTTTACACACCTATATGGCCGGTACGTTAGCACAGGCGTTATTCTCTGGGATTCTGTGGATCATTTCTGAACGATCATTTTTAATGTTCTTATACATGTTCCTTACTTCGCATATTCTGAATTTCGCTGTTTTGCTGTTTAATGACCCGTATGACATTGAACTGTTGTTACGTGTAAGCTTATGGGTAAGAAACGAAATTACTCTCATACGAACCCAAGCATAATAATGGTCAGTAATGATCTTTATGATACCCAAATGGTAATTTGCAAGGTATACAACATTTCTTCCAACCTGCGGTGTACCATTTACAAAAGTAGTCATGTAAATCATCAGGCGATGTTCCCCCCTGAGACAAGCACGCCCTCAACTGACACCTTGTCCTCTCACTTCAACAATCCAAATTTCGTGATATATATCACAGATTGTCTAAGTATGAAATACTGGATCAGATTGTGTCCAGGCTCCGAGTGACAGAGCACAGAGGAAACGTTCAGTGGTTTGGAGAGCTCGTTATCAGAAGTTGAGAGTGAACTCAAAATAGATAAAGAGAAGCTTGAGGGTGCTGATTTTGATCACGCCCTTCTTGAAGCGGGAGTCGGTATGTTGGAACAAGGGACGGGAAGGGGTACGAGAGGGTAATCGTTTTTCGAAAGAACAGATACTCAAGATCCAAACACTAAGGACAATCTGTTAGTAAGAGAAATCCCAGATGGTGACCGTGATAAAGATACAGAGGTCGTGGTCAAGGGATTCAGTAAGACGGAACTCGATATTGATGAGGGCATTCAGCTTTAAGTTGCCCACAGGCTGAGGAAGAGGACCGATTACAAGCCCAGATTCTTAGTAGGTGAGTTCTCGAACAGGAAAGACAGCAAATGTATCTAAGGATGTCCCTAAACTAAACTAAAGAGAATTTTCTGTGTTCGAACAATTTCCGCCGGTAATGATTGACAGACAACGTTTGTTATATCCAGTGTTTAAGAAGCTAGGAGGCATGGAAGGCACACTCGACTGCAAGATGGTAAGTTGTACGTTAATGGTAGCCTTTATGCCCCATCTCGTATAGAGTATCCTGGTCACAATCCGAGTGGCCGAGATCCTACTCTCACAGTGGAGTTATATGGCACTCATCAACATCGTATTGACGAGACTGGAATATACCCCTAACTGTTCATTATCTTATATGCTAATGAGACCGTGCTGTTATTGGAAACACCAGATGGTTTGTAATTAGCTTTAAACTTACTTACTTGGAAGCTCAACTCAAGAAAAACTAAAGTTTTCATTTTCTCAAAAAAGGAATTAGAAATACTTGAAGGATATACCTGTCTCGGTTTTTTTAAATTTAACTTCAACTGTAGCTTTTTAAAGCAAGGTAAAATGTTGTTGAAGCACATAAATCGTTTTTTCATTCTATAAGAAAGTATGAAACATATCACTACCATATATTTGATTCAGTAATCATGCCAGTTTTCCTGTATTCATCAGAAATATGGAGGTTTGAAAAAAATTAATATTACAGAAAAAAAAATGTAATTTTGTAAAAATATACCTAAAGTAAGATCAAACACAGCTAAAGTCTTTGTTTATAGTGAACTGGAAAGATGCCCACTAGATATTGAAATTAAATGTAGAATAATAGTATTCTAGTACAAGTTGAATAGCGCTTAAAAGTTATCAAATATTATCTATAAGTTAATGTATATGTTACAAGAAAATGGGACCATTATAATGGCTCACAAATGTTAAAGATTTTTTTCCAAACTGGCCTGAATTTTGTCTGGTACTACCAATCAGCATGTTCCTTTTCTGAAGATGAATTCAAGACATTGGTGAAAAATAGACTAAAGGATCAATAAGTACAGAAATGGTTCGATAATATTCTTAACTCATCTAGAGGCAGACATATTTCATTTTTAAGACAAAATTTGATAAAGAAAAATCTTTAATTAAACTTAATACTTAAGATTAAAAAAATATTTGTAAGTTTCGTTCTTCAAATATGCATTTACCTGCAGAAACAGGAAGATAGTTCGGTATTCCTCTTTAAGAGATAACCCTTACATTATGTAACTCCTACATTGGAGATGAATTTCACTATTTATCTAATTTATTGTAACATATTTTATTGTCATGTTAAAATGTCAAAAAGATTAGTCAGTAAGTTTTACCGACTTGTAAGTGACCGCTCCCTACATACAATTATGTAACAATAGTCACATGATAAAACATTAAAATGTGAAATATGACGAGATTAGACAATCAATGTATCATGTTTAGTACTACAAAAAGCTTAATTAAGTATAGACTATCAATTTACGAGAGAGAGAGAGAGAGAGAGAGAGAGAGAGAGAGAGAG